AAGTCAAGGACAACAAACGTTTCAACCCTATGATTTGTATGTTTTAAATCTGATATTGAATGCTATTGAACGTTCAGAACGTCAAAAAATTCAGGAAAATCAGCTTTTTTTTAAAGAGAAACTCGACAAAGCTACTACCTATATTATAAATTAACAATATGGTCCACTTCCCGAATTCTTATATGTTTCTGAAGTTGCGTCTAATATGTCTTCTCCCGTTGAGAAGGGTGACGGGTGAAGGGTTATTATTTAAGTGTGTAATCAATTCATAATTTAAAAGGAGTGTTGTGAGCAGAAATTTTGCCGTGAGACATAGGAAACGGAACACATTTTCACTTTTCATGATAAATTGATACATCTGAGATGCTCCAAAACATATCAGAAAACCAGTAAATCAGGAAATTTGAAAATCCGAAAATCATATCAGAAAATCAGAAAATCATATTATCAGAAAAGCAGTCTATCAGAAAATCAAAAAATCTGATAATTTGAAAATCTGAATATCAAAAAAACCAGTTCATCAGAAATTCAGAAAATCCGATAATCAGAGAATCAGATAATCTAACTTTCGGAATATAAAAAAACCAGTAAATCAGAAAATCAGGAAATTTTAAAATCTTAAAATCTTAAAATCTTAAAATCTTAAAATCTTAAAATCTTAAAATCTTAAAATCTTAAAATCTTAAAATCTTAAAATCTTAAAATCTTAAAATCTTAAAATCTTAAAATCTTAAAATCTTAAAATCTTAAAATCTTAAAATATTAAAATATTAAAATCTTAAAATCTTAAAATCTTAAAATCTTAAAATCTTAAAATCTTAAAATCTTAAAATCTTAAAATCTTAAAATCTTAAAATCTTAAAATCTTAAAATCTTAAAATCTTAAAATCTTAAAATCTTAAAATCTTAAAATCTTAAAATCTTAAAATCTTAAAATCTTAAAGATCATCAAACAATAGTTAAATCTTTAAAGCTTTATATCTTTAAATCTTTAAATCTTTAAATCTTTAAAGCTTTAAATCTTTAAATCTTTTAATCTTTTAATCTTTAAATCTTTAAGTCTTAAAATCTGAAAATCAAAAAACAAAAAATCAGCTAATCGGAAAATCAGAAAATCTTAAAATTAAGGAATCAGAAAATAAGAAAACCTGTATTGCAAAATAAAAGAAAATCATAAAATGAGAGTATCAGATCAGAAAATCAGAACAGCATTCAATCAGAAAATCAGATATCCATAAAGTCAGATAATCCGTAAACCAGAAATGCCGATTATCTGATGATCAGAAAATCATAAAGTCTGAGTATCACAAAATCAGTTTAAAAAATCAGATAATAAGAAAATCAGAACAGCATAAAATCAGAAAATGAGAAATTTATTAAATTAGAAAATCAGAGAAAAATCAGAAAATCTGAACATCTGATCATCAGAAAATCAAAAAATCAGAAAATATGATAGTCTGAATATCAGAATAACAGAGACATCAGAAAATCAGTTAACCTTTTTATCAGTTAATCAGTTAACCATTAAATCAGAATATATATTTTTTTTTTCCTTTGGTTTGTTTTTTCCGTTGACCTTGTTTTCCGTGCTGAGCACCAATGATACCGACGTGAAGGAAGGCGTGATCAGAGATGTTATGCCTCAGAACATCCCGGCGGCGCCGACTGGGATTGAACCCAGGCCTGCTGGGGTGAGAGGTAATCACGCTTACCACTACACCACCGGCGCCGTTAAATCAGAAAATAATGAAATCTTATTTTCTGAGAATCAGCATATCATAACATCAGACAATCTTAACACCAAGATATCACAAATTCAGATAATCCGAAAAGCTGACTTTAAGAATAACAGAAAATCAGAAAATTTTAAATCAATAAAAGCAGCAAATCTAGAAAAGCAGTTAATCGGAGAACCAAACTAAAATCGAAAAATCAGAAAAATTCAGAACATCAGAAAAGCAGATAATCTGATGATAAAAAGTGGTGAATTAGTATATCATAGATCATTTAATTCATTAATTTATTTCATTAATTCAAAATTTATAGCATTAGAAAATCAGATGATCAGAAGATCAGCAAATAAGGTAATCAGGCAATTAAATAAAAAAAAATAGAAAACAAAAAAAATGTAAAATCAAAAAATTAGGTAATCATAAAATTAAGTAATTAGAAAAAAATAGAATCAGAAAATCAGAGAAAAACCACGCAATCAGAGAAAAATCATAAATTTAGTTAATCAGATTATTAGGAATTTAGATATACAGGAAATAAGTAAATCAGAAAATCAGAAATCACAAAATCAGAAAATCAGAATACAAGAAAATTTGAAAATCAGATAATCCCAGAAAAGAAGAAAATCAGATGATCAAAAAATCATCTTATCAGAAAATCCGAAAATCAGATGACTTGAAATTCTTTAAAGCAGATTATCAGAAAATCAGAGGATCAGATAATCAGAAAAATGAATAAAGAATTAGATAATCTGATCAGAAAATCAAAAAAAAAATTATAAAATAAACAAATCTGTTAACCAATAGATCGGAAAACCAGTAGATCCGAATGCCAGAAAAACAGTTAATCTGAATATCTATATAGGGGAAATGGATGTAATGTCGGCCTAAATGTCCCTAATTTGGGCCTATACATAAATTCAGCAATCGACTAAAATTCGACAAAAATATCCATTGGTACCATCTCATCTAGATAAAATTTATAAATAGCATATTTTTAGCGATGGGCCCAATCTTAGATCCATAGGCCAACATTAGAGTCATTTCCCCTATATATATATAAAAATGAATTTCTGTCTGTCTGTCTGTCTGACCCTTTTAGACTCGGAAACTATTGAACCAATCGGCGTGAAAATTTATATGCAGGGGTTTTTGGGGCAGGGAGAGGTTCTTATGATGGATCGAGACCCCTCTCCTTCTGTAAAGGGGGGCTCCCATACTAATGAAACAGAAATTTCTGCATAACTCGAGAACTAATCAAGCAAATGGAGCCAAATTTGGCATATGGAGGTCATTGGGGGTAGCCCCTTAGATAAGAGGAGGGGGCTACGTACGTGCTTTGTTTTTAATTGGCGCATAAGCTCAAGCTAATATTGAATCCTGAGCAAGGTCGGGCACACTCAGCTAGTCATAAATAAATCAGTAAATCAGAAAATCTGATAATCTGAAAATCTGAATATTAGAATAACAGAAAATCGGAAAATCAGAACAACTTCTTCTTCTTCTTCTTCTTCTTCGCATTTCAAGCTTATTGCATATCGCATGTTAGCTTATTGCGTGCTCTCAACTTAGTGTTCTAGATGCACTTCCACAGTTATTAATTGAGAGCTTTCGATGCCTGTACCATTTTTGCATTGGTATAATTGTGTGGCAAGTCCAATCATACTTCTATGCCCAGGGAAGTCGAGAAATTTTCCAACCCGAAAAACTCCTAGACCGGACCGGGAATTGAACCCAGCCACCTCCAGCATGGTCTTGCTTTGTAGCTGCGCCTTTACCGACTGAGCTAAGGGAGACAACTGCAAACAAGATTATATCTCGAATAACAAGAATTATTTTCAAGATGATATCAGGTTGTTATTTTACTTTGCCCGGTTAGTACCTCCTTGAAAACCGTTTTTTATCATAACTTTTTAGTTTGAAATTTTCATTTTTTTTTCAATGTTCCACAAAGTTGTAAGTGCTCTAAAATTGCACATTTTTGTTCAATGAAGCAAATCGCTCTCTTTTCATGTAAAGGATTTACATACGTATTTATAATTTTCCAACACTAACTTTAGAGGAGTGTATCTTGCAGGTTAACAGGTATTAGCAGCTAAACCGACGTTATTTTTTTCAGCAACTTATATCCTACTGTTACATATACAACTCATAGGAGGATCCAAGGGGATGTCTAATGATTTTTTTTTAATATAGTACCTCAATGTTTTGTTACATTTTGCTGTTTTCATGACCATTTTTCCAAGGATGTACATTAGCGTGGGTTGTAGCTTCGACAAAGTTCTCAATCTAAGTTCGAGTTTTAGTGAAATTTGAGCAATGTTTGGATTTTTGGTAAGCAAATGAATAGGATCGTTCCGTTGCCCATATATTTAAAATTCTCCCACATGTCGAGATTATAACCAAATTCGTTCAAATTTTGTCCAGTTGTTGGGGACCAGTATAAAAATTGAAAGAGCAGTGGGAAACCCACTCAGATGTAAACACTGGGAAAAATGGTTATGAAAACATCAAAACGTAACAAAACATTGAGGTACTTTTTAGAAAATTTATTATGCATCCCCTTGGATCCGCATGTGAATTGTATATGTAACAGTAGACTAGAAGATGCTGAACAAAATAACGTTAAGATTAGCTGCTAATACCTGCTAACATACAAGATACATCCCATTACAGATAGCGTTAAAAAAATTATAAAAAGGGACTTGAATCCTTAAAACAAAGAGATATCGATTTGTTTTTTGCAGCAAAAATTATCACTTACAATTTTGTAGAACATTGAATAAATTTAAAAAAATTCAAACTAAAAATGTATGGTAAGAAACTACCATTTGTACTCCATTTTCACCCTATAACTTCGTCCACTTGAGAGATGGAAAATTGACGTCGTGGACAAAATTCCTTGAAAAGACTTCATCTACAATGTTTCCATAGATGATCATCAATTTCAACAAGACATAAAAAAGTTATTTTTTTTATCTTAGTGTATACCCCCCTTAAGCAAAAATGTTCGCTTCTCAATTAAAGTACTTAAAAATTGAAGCAACATTCTAGAAGACATCAAAATGCTACACTCAATAGTTTCGTCGCAAATGGCTATGTCCCTCTTTTTTTGATTTCGTCCCGCTGTGCGCCGTTACATTCGGCCAACAATGGATAATCTTAGGAGACCCTGAACCAAGTAAACAGGGTTCCATATGTCCCCGGCGCAGGATATTATCTAATTTAGTCTTCTGAATAATCGTTTTTTTTTTCACTCCCTACTTGCAGCCGTCCAGTTGTCTGTCGGACAAGGAGGAAGACGAAATTTATGGCTTCGGCTATGGCGTCTTTGCCCCGAGGGTTGCCAGGGCGAATCTGCAGCAACAGCAGCATCAGCAACAACAACAGCAGCAGCAACAGCAACAACAGCAACAATCTCAGCAACAACAACAATCACAAAATTCCACCAATGTACCTGCGAACAGTGCTGCCGCACAGCAAAGGTGAGTGTCTCTGATGGGAGGAGCAGGGTGGTACGGAAAAGCTTGTCAGCTGTCCAAAATCAGTGCAGACGGTCTCTCGCGCGGTGGCTTTGGGTCGTCTTCGGTCTTGGGAGCGGTTGTTTGTCATCAGGGGATAAAGCCACAGACAGTCAGACAATGCGAGACTGCTTATTCCCCCCAACCAGTTTCTACGGCTTTGGCATTTTCAGCTGCTTATCTGTCCCGCTCAATCTGTGTCACACCCGGTAGATTCAATCGAACGCCCCAAAACCATACCGGGGTTTGTTCTCCGGGACGACGGCAACCCCGGGAACACACCATAAAGGCATAAAACATCGATAAATTTTCCCCGGTGCCAGTTGATCACTTTCTGTCCTTTTGGTTCCTAATTTATAGCTTTCGACCTAACCTGACTTCCTCGCTCGGTCGGTTGGTCTGGTCGGTGCTGGCTTTAGCTATGGCGCGTTCCCCGAGACCGGAACTGTTGACTATCGCCATGACAACGATGTGATGCGACTCGACGCCCGGAAAAAGGTGGCATATGTGAAAATGTGCGAGGATTGGACAGCGTGGCTTCCGCTTGCCTCTCGCTCGACCTCCTTCATTTGGCTGGCTTTGAATAAATAGCCAATGAGGCCGCCAACTGGCCATTAGGGTCGGTTGGGTTCTTTTGGTTTTTTTTTTTTTCGTTTGTCGTAGGCCATCGCACCGCCGAAAACAGTATCGATTAAATTTCAATAAATTATTCATATTTTATTACGCCATATAGCTACATTTTTTATCGGGAAAATATTATTATTGGTAACCGTTGTCACGCATGAAAAAAAAAGACGGTGGAAACAACAACGACAATGGCGACAACAACGACTGACGCACGCATACGAAATGTGTTTGAACATTTGGCAAGTTATTGAATCAGTTTGAGTAGTGTGCGTGTATGTGTGTTTGATCGACGGCAATGTCGACAAATCATTATGTGTACAGTACGTGTAATGCTTTGCGGAACTTGTTGGAATACTGTTTCGCGGCTGCGGCAACATGTGGTGCCATTTTACATGCCCCTTCTTTTCATTCTTTGATGCAAATCGGAAAACGTTTAGCCCAATCGATGACTTGCTGAACTGAGCCATTTGATTTTCCGGATTTTTGACCGAATAAAGAACTACAAGGGACAGCGACTACATGGCCTTATATAATAAAAGTTATTTGTAAACTGCAGCAGGAGCTTGTGTTTTGTGTGTTTCTACTCTTTGTTGGTATGACTATGATTGCCTTAAGAAAAAAAAACCCAGATGAAATGAATTTTAGTTGGTACAAGTTCAGAAATTTAACATTTTTGGAAAATTTTGGTGGCCCTGAAAAGGGCCGATATTAGTACAAGCTTAAAGCCTTTGGAAGATGATGATGACGTGTAGCTGGATCAGCAAATCGGACCGGACAATCCCATATTCTTCGGTTCAATGATTGGGCACTGACAAGAGTCTCGGCCCGTCTGCTGCTGGACAGAGGTTGAACTGGTGTCTGCGACAGGTTGGAAGGCCACAGAATATCAGTGTCCACCCAGCTAAAGCTCCTCCCCTTTTTAGTTTTTCTCGTTAAACTCCTTCTCTCAACAAGTTGGTAAATCTTAGCCTTTAGCAGAAAGACGTTTAACACTTTTTTCGGCGCATTTATGATTCTGTTTCACGTCATGGTTCTTCTCTATGCCTGTTCAAATAAATTAGTACTTTTATTTATTTTCTCTACTGCGCTAAATCAAACGATTTGAAATAAGAAGGGATGTCGGTTACGCGCTCGAATAATTGAAAATTCGATAAATATTTAATCGATCAACTGGAAACATCTTTACGATTAATCGTTAATCAAATGATTTGACTTTTAGGCATCCCTAGAAAGTAGTGAAATTTAATGTTAAGGACCACCAACCTTCGAAAATGTCGAACAGCAGCATTGCAACCAGCCAGTTTAACCCAAGATCCACAAGCGCTGCGATGCTAGTTTTCACGACTGAATTAAGGGGCTTAGTTAGCAGAGGGGTGCTAAATGTTACGAAATTGGATCCTCGCTATTCGCACACGCCCGAAGATCGGAGACGAATGCCACTTCGTCTTGTTTCGTCTACTAACGACTCTCTGATGACTGTGTTGGGGAAGCAGCATATCTTCTTCTTCTTATTCGCATTTCAAGCTTATTGCTTAATGCATCTTAGCTTATGGCGTGCTCTCAACTTACTGTTCTAAATGCACTTCCTCTGTTATTAATTGAGAGCTTTCTATGCCAATCACCAATGCATGAATTTGTATATTGTGTGGCAAGCACAATGATACTCTATGCCCAGAGAAGTCGAGAAAATTTCCAACCCGAAAGATTCCCTCGACCGGACCGCCTCCGGCTTGGTAATACCGTACCTTTACTGACTAGGCTATGAGGCCTCCTAGGCAGCATATGCATTAGACTGATGCAAAATTTGACTTTTTCGCTCCACAGTGCTTAAATGGTTTCAAATCGGGTCCTGATTAGCCTCCCAAAGTTACAACTCATTTGGTTAGAAACAGACTTCGCACAAGCCATTTGTAATTTACATGTAAATTACTATGGGAAATCTCAACTTTTTGTTTATTGCCTTCTAGTCTTGATTCATATCGAACTGCGAAACAGTTCGATAGCTATTCTTATTGAAAATTTTCTCAGCTACAACTTTGCTGAAGATCGTTTCTATGTAAAACGAGACAGGAAAAAGTTATTAATTAGCTTAGCAGCTGAGTTATTAACGTTCAAAATCTTTCATAATTTCGCTACATGTTACATTTTAGATTTTCACTAAGAAATCACAGACGTAGTCATGATTGCACGTTTTTGTACGCGTCATGGAAGTTAACCCAGTGAAAAGAAACTGTTTCAAAGGAGCTCGTTTGCTGTCAGTTGAGTCACATATACTTTCAATTGATACTTATGTATGACTCAGGACGCTTTTCCGAATGACAATTTTCAATTTGTTGGACGTTATATCGGAAATTCATCAGAACGATCCTTAAACATTTCTGATCTGGAAAACCTGAGTCAAAATGCCTTGGATTTGACCTCTATCATGGTGCCGAGTACCTGTAAAAACCTGGAACCTCAGGGAGTTTCACGGAATTGATACTTAGAATTATTTAAATCATTTCCACAGTTTTAAATTGAGAGCTATCTATGTCAACCAAAGCATGAATCTGTATATTGTTTGACTAGCACAATGATACTTTATGCCCAGAGAAGTTGGAAACATTTCCAACCCGTAATATGTTCTAGAACCGGGAATCGAACCATGCTCAATATCAACAAGGCTATCAAATACAATTCACAGTTGAGTGAAATTTTACTATTTTGAGTCAACCCAGTGACTGAGTAGACTCCACTCATCCTTGCGTCAAGTGTGGAGTTGTCAAAATTTGAGTAAATAACTTTTGTTCTGATGCGTAGAAGCTACTCAGATTCTGGGTAAATGGATATAATAATAGTTTCCTAAAATTCAAATTGGTGCACGTCTTTTACACAGAGAAAACATTAAGTGTTTCGATGTGATACAGCTCAAAACAGTAATCACGGAACTTTTTGAATGGTAATGGTGACACATGACAGCAGCCTGTTGTTAAGTATATTGAATGTTTTCTAACCTTATACTTCCTCTAAATACTTAATTTTTCAGAAATCTAGTGCAGTTTTTGACCTCCGACCAAGCCAGCTCATTAATCGATATTGCTACTTCAAGGCTTACTAGTCATTGGTGAAGGAGTAGCTAAAATTTTAGTTTATTCAATGAACAGTATTATTTTTTTTTTAATATAGGGGAAATGAATGTAATGTCGGCCTATGTGTCCCTGATTTGGGCCCATACATAAATTCAGCAATCGACTAAATTTTCAATGACGACCAAAAATATCCATTAGCACCATCACAATGACGCTTTCATCTAGATAAAATTGATATATAGCAGATGTTTAGCGATGGGCCCAATATTAGATCCATAGGCCTACATTAGAGCCATTTCCCCTATGTTGAATGATTGTATCAATTGTTATCCATATGCAAGTAAAAAGAAAACTATTTGTCAGCATTTATGTGTACCTAATTGCTATAAAAATAAGTAAGCTTTACCAGTCAGCAAACGTCAAATTCTGAGTAAGCTCTACCCAGTTTCCACCGCAAGCACGTTTACCTAGATTTGAGTAAATACATGTTTACCCATTTTTGGGTAACTTCCCTTTTGGCCGAACTGAGTGATTTTCAACTCAAAAATGAGTAGCTCCAGAATAGCGTGTACATAAGTGTTAAAATCCTACACGCTATTTGAAAACTACTCATATTTGGGCAGAGTCTATCCAGTTCGATCATAACAGAACCTACCCGATAAATAAGTCAACATGCATTCACCAAGATCGGGGTAAACATACTTTTGAAGGAAACTGGGTAACGTCTGCTCAGATGTTGACTGTTTTCTATCTGGGTAAACTTTACCCTTTTTATAGATATTAAAAGCCGGGTCCCGCTGCAAAAACTCTCTATCAAACATAACCTCATCCTACTGGATTGTCAAGGTGATTAATCATGAGTTTTCGAAATTGGAATTCAACACTGGAATCCCCAAGTAAGGATGTTGAAACTGATTTCTTTTAGCGTCCCGTAAAACTGGAAGTTTGTTGGGAACAGCTTTAGCTGTAATTTTAATTTTATTTTTAGTAATATTATCACTTTAACAACATTAATTACCTACAATTTTTCAGTATTTCTTCCGACTAACTTCCTTTAGTGAATACAAATGTTAGGTTAGGTGTGCTGCTATGAGGAACAAATTTATCATTGTAATTAATATTAACTTCATCATTTACTTTATATTATTTACTTACAGTTTATCGAACTGAACACTAATTTACTAATTTTTCACTTTTTAAATATATAAATTAAATTAACTGCCTAAATAAACCATGACTTGCATACGAACTCTTTATTGTCAATGTTAA